TTCCATCTGCTTCCCAAACAGAACGATACATTCTGACAGCATTTGTGTAGAAATATATCCATATATTTATTAATATTGCTGCAAATTCAACATTATTCCGACAAATTATCCAGCCTAATAGTGTCTTATTTTGAAAATACGGATGTTGTGCTCGTGTCTTTTCCTGTTGGTGCACCGTAATCTTTAAAAATTGACTCCGGCGCAGCTCCGGCATCCGTCAAAAATAGGATCTGTTCTAATTTTGACGGATCGCCGTCCGCTCACCGCCGCCGTACGCAGCCAGTGTAAATTATAATTATAATGGGTGCGTATTTGCTGCGGAGGTCGGACCGGAGCGGAGCGGAGACAGAACGCAAGTAGTGTAAATTGGGGGTAACACTATCACTAACACTATCATGATAAAACAGATGCCGCTCAACCAACCATTTCCCCTCCCAAAACAAATACAAAGCTAAAAAGTGGGAAATCATTATCGGACATTAATATTGGCCCAGTTTTACATATCGGACCAATACCGATATTCTAGAAAATGACCAATATTGGCCAATACCAATATTAATGCCAATATATTGTGCATCCCTAGCTTTTCCAGAAAATGCATCCAAAGTAAAGATGCGTAGTTGTGTATGTATTCGTTTGTGTGTTGATGATGTTTGTCTTTGCCAGGCTCTCCAGGCTCTGGACATGGCATTGAAGCAAAATCCCACAGATTTTAGCGTTAGAGCAGAGCTGCATTTCTCCAAAGGAAATCACCTGAGAGAGATGAATCAGCTGGACCAAGCCTTCGAGGTAAAACTTGCCGGTCCTTCAGTTTGCTTTCCTTCTCTCCCTCTTATTTACTCATCTTCGTCATGTTTTCCCAACTACTTTTGCAACCCATGTTCTGAGGTTTTTCATATTGAAACATACAGAGAACGGGGGGTTGGGGGGGGGGGGTTTCTGGTACACACACATGCTAACACACCCCGCTGAGCGTGCTGCGCTGCTCGCTCAGCGGTGTGTGTTAGCATGTGTGTAACCCCACCCCCCATTAACACACACCTGACTGAGCATCAAGGAGCATCATGTTTAGCAAAGGTGCACAGTCCTACCATTGTGTTTTGAACCTGTTAATAAAATCCTGGTTTACTTAAATCTTCCTTAAATTAAAGAGTAACAAAACATTTCTACTTAAATTTTTGCTCATCTGCACTAAATCTACCTTATTGAAAGTCAGCAGTTTTAAACCCTCATCATTGACAGCTCCCTCCTCTCAGGTCAAGTCTGGGTGTCATTCTTAACAGCACTCTATTTCACTCACATCAGTAATATTACCGGGTCTGAATATTTCCACCTTCAAAACCTCTCTCTGCTTCTTTCCTGGTTCATAGTCTGGTCATTTCTCAAACTGATTACTGTAAAGGCTGGTTAAAACGTTTAGTCGCATGTCTTGGTCCCACTGCTGAGTGACAAAAATGTGCATAACTTCCATCTGCTATCATTCCATTGCTCCCCTCTGGTGACAGCCATTGTCTACACTGCCCCCCTGTCAGAACTCTGCGAGGCGGACCTTGCAGCTTGGAATTGAATGATATGGAATTGTCCCCTGCTGGAAATTTGTCTTGGGCAAGTGCTACACAGTTGTAAAAAAAAACAATAAAACAACACACAAGGAAACAAAACTCTAGCTCAAAAACATTAATCAATAACGCAACAAGTAAAGGGTACAATTTAAGGTATTAGCTTAAAGGCACAGTGTGTAGGATTTTGTCAATTCTTTTAGCCGAAATTGAGATAATCACTAATGACAATAATAAAAAACATGTCTAATCATTGCAGACAAAGACCTTGTTTTATTATTTTTACCTCATAAAAAGCTGTTTACGAGTCGCCACACAGGCAGCCACCATCTTGTCTACGAAGGCTCATGAAGGACAAACTGCGGTGGCGGCGTCAAAAACGCTTTTAG